TGTTATTTGTAACAATACCTTTCTCTTTTCATTAGATGTTTTCTCTGTGTGCCTAAATGAGAAAAAGAAAGAATGAAACACATAATATTCTTTCAAACACCAAATATGTAAAATGCAATAAGACTATTATTTTTTAATACACAAAATCTCTATATTTTTAATTTACTTCATGTACCCATAAATTTTATGATCAGTTTCCACAATGGGTATTCAAGTGTAAATAAAAAGAACAGCATTAATAAATCAAGAACACTACTACTAATAGTCTCAAAACAAATAATTAAATTTAGATTATACCTTCTGACAGTAAAAGCAAAATGAATAATAGCACTTGCCTTATTTGATAGAAATGTGATAGTGTTTTGTTATTGTCATTTTCAAAAAAATAAAACTCATATAACTTACTAAACCCCATTTGTAAAAGATGACTTAAATCCTTGTAGGAGGGGAACCCTGTTGCAATAATTATAGGTTCTTATTTCAGGACATACAGTGAAATGACTGTACATAATTCTAAGTGATGTACATAAGCCAAACTTGGTATAATTCTCATTCTCCCAACAATTCTCTGAGGTAGATAACATTAGGTATTTTATAAAAACAGAAACTAGTCAAAGACAGGCCAAATAACTTTCCAAAATCCATGCATCTGGTTAGTGGCAAATTATGAAAGCAATATTCCTCATCAAGTGTTTGAAAGAAATAATAAAAGACAATCTATATTATCACTCTGTATCTGGACATAATTGTAAATAATAATTTCTGCATTTTGCCATTATTTAAAAAATAAAATGACTATATACCTTGGCAATTTTGGAAATCTAGTTTCAGTAAATTAAAGGTTTATTTTTTCTTCATCAAGTTCATCATCATGCATCATTCATCTATTCAATGATTTACTCAAGCATGCAACCAAGAGAGCACATAATGCATATTCAATTGTGTTGTTGGAACAGAAAAACAAGGTTCTGATACTTTAAAACGTCATAATCCAAAAGGAATAATCTGAACTCTTTGGTCAATATTTTACTTTTGTATTGTACACAAACACAGCACACAGATTCTAAGTACTTACTATTTTGATACTCATGATATTTTAGAGTACTATAAAAAATCATAGCAATGCCTTATGATACTATCAAGGCAGAAGGCATGATTACACTCTCTTGAGTATGACCTATATTTCCTATATATCTGTATTTGGATGTTTTCTACTACATAAGTTTTTAAAACTCTATCTATGACAGTTGAAATTTTGGGTCATCATTTTCATGTTCAATTACATTAGGATATCCAATATTGAACCAAAACTCAATGAATAACCACCCTTATTATAGAAAATGTACAAGTAAATAGAAATTCTAAGGATCATTAGAATTTACAATTTTATAACTGAATTGTATAGATAATTCATAGATATTTGTAAGACAATTTACTATAAATCTTCAATGGAACCCTATGAAGCTTTCTAGTATTAGATATGCAAACTCAGTTAACTGAATAAGCCTGTCCTCTAATGAATCATTTCTAAGGGCATATGAAATATATTGAAATCTTGTAATTTTTTTTAACTCTCTAATTCGACTTCTTCTTTAGTCATTGTTCACTTTTCCATTTTTTCTAGAAAAATTCTCTAAGGAGTTTCCTACAATTATCATTTGAAGTCCAGGTTTCATGGTGACAATGTATTGAAACTATTCCATGTTAAAGTCACTTGTTTTCATCTTTGTCAAACTGTTAGCAGCATTGATATTCAGAGCATTCCCTTTCTTTGCCCTAAACTGCATTATTCTCTCTTCTTTACACAAGAAGTGTTGACTGACTGAGAGCATG